GTAAATTTCGTCTAAGAGCTAAATTTCGTCTAAGTCGTAAATTTGCTCTACGTCGTAAATTTCGTCTGAGAGGTCAATTTCGTCTAAGTAGTAAATTTTGCCCAAGTCGTAAATTTCGTCTAAGAGGTAAATTTCGTCTAAGTCGTAAATTTCATCTAAGAGGTAAATTTCGTTTTAGTCGTAAATTTCCTCTTACAGGTAAATTTCGTCTAAGTCGTAAATTTCGTCTTTGAAGTAAATTTCGTCTGAAAGGTAAATGTCGTCTAAGTAGTAAATTGGTCTTCCTAGGAGTCCTGTGAAAATTACAAAAAGAGTGTATTAACAATGTTAACAGGAATACATTAATTACATTAACGAAAGGACTACTTAACTAAGAAAGATAGCCTAAGCTATAAAATAAAATAAAAAAAATAAAATAGTGCACTAAAAATATTATTTACCTATCAAGACATTTTTTAAAAACACTTTTTAACTAGGCAGGTGTCTGATTTCCAAGGGGATCTTGTTCCACAGAACAGATCCTCTGAAGTTTAGGCTCCCTTTTTCATATTCAGTTCTTGGCCGGGGACATAGCAATTTTCTCTCACAATTTCTAGGATTGTGTGCGTGCACATGTGAGGTGTTGGTAAAAATCCTCCTCTGGTACGATGGGGAAAGATTATTATGGATTTTTTACATAATCATAGCCGGTTGTTTAAATCTTATGTTTGAGTATCATATTATTTTTTTTTTTCGTTTTATTTCGTGAAAAAAAAAATCTTGTAGGTTTTCAATTTAACAATTGTGAAGATAATACTGCTCACCGAGTTTTTCACTGATTTTAGCAGCGTCTGAATCAGCCAGTGTTATCTTCTAATGAATCCTCCTGTGCCACCAGAGACATGGAATTCAGATGACGTAATGGTGTAAGACAAATATGTATGATCTGTGGGCTATTTATCATTTTCCTCTCGGTTTGCATTACTCAGCAGCCTGGGTAAATTTAATCTTCACTTTTGCAATTGTTGTTGAAGGATGTCAGAGATATCGATTGCAACCAAAAGCTTCTATACAAGCAGTCACAGTCGCCGAAAAATGGTTCCATTACAATCTCTAGACTGCTCCGTACAGCGGGGTTTGCTAGACAGTAGACCCCGGTTGTTCAAAGCACGATTATGTTAATCTAGAATTGGAATCAGTTTTAATTTATAATTTTAATATAATGATATTAATAGTATTATGATAATATTAATTGTAATTTATAATTATAATTTCCATGTTGTGACCTAACCTCAAATTCCTCCACCTAAGATAAAATTGTAATCGCGCGGCTTAAGGTTTTGTCCATCAGAACTGGCGGGTTACTCACATCACACAGTTCGATGTAACACCCGGTGTTCGCCGCGAGGTCATGGGTTCGATTCCTGTCGGGGACACAGATTTTTTCTTTGTCCCACGCTCGGACAATGTTGAAAAATTTACCCTTCACATAGTAAACTCATTGTTTGATTATAGAATTAATTTTTGCCCCTTTCATTTCTTCATTTTTCCTTGCTTTTATACTTTAGAGCATGTTGCCTTCATATAATCTAAGGTAAGTCACATTTTGTTACAATGTTTTTCAATGTGTTTCTTTATTACTTTTTTTAGAAAGTACATAGTATTTTAGCTTTAAAGGTCATAAGTAATTTTCCTCAGAGTTCAAAGATTGAACGACCGACATGCGACAAGCTAACCCGCAATGGTTCAAACGCAAGAAACGATAAAAAACAATTATGACAAACAAAATGCGCGCGGCAATCAAAACTACAAGCAAACTTGTTTTCTACAAAGTTAAAAAGTAAGGAAAACAAAGTTGCATGCATGCCATTGCACACCAGTACTGGGTGATAAAAGGCTTAAAAGAAGGAAAAAACTGAGAAGTGAACACGTAAGAATCCGAATTCACTTAATGTCGCAGAGAAGAGCGACTCCCCTGAGAATCCAGTGATCCGGACTCTGTACGGTTTTGAGCCACAGAGGGGTGATGTAAGTCAGGTCTGTGCGCTGAGGTTTCTTGTACACCGGACACTGGTATAGACGCGGGTCTTTAGGTGCTGTGGAGTTGACGGCATATACGTGCACCACAGGCAGCAGGGTGAAGAGGACCTTAGGCTGGGGCTCAATTAGTTTACATCCACGACGATCCCAACCAGCGCCATCCAGGTATAAACCATAAATATACACACCTTCCTGTAACAAGAGTGAAAGGCGCATTTTTTTAGGCTAAGGCTTCAGTGAACTAGCCCACGAGAATGTTACAGGGAGTTGGGGAGAACCACGCCAAAACGGTGAGTGGAAGAACTAAAAGAGGGAAAATGCTCGTTGATCTTCAGCCACGTTTCTTGCTGCTCACTGCCTAACAGAAAACCTGGGAGAAGCTACTCTATAGCATAGGCAAAAACAAAACAAAAGTGAAAACAAAATCTTTCCTTTTGGCTGTGCTCATATGCTCATGTCGCGGTCTTTCCCCAGTAAAAAATGAGTAAATTAAACTTCAAATTTACGAGTAAGTTTGTATCTTTTATTTATCTTTTGCATGGGTACGCCTGTATTGCATCAGTTTATGCTTCGTGCTTGCGTTTGCGTCACTAGTGATAACCAAACACCCATTTCACACGTAGAACTGCCACATTACAAGTGCAACATTCAAGAAAGATGAACTTACGGAGGGGGGTGAGTTGATGTCCTCTTTCATAGCCCTGATGACGTCATTGTGTAGCACGACAGAGTCTAGAGCCCAGCCCTTGTGCGCGCGCGTGACTTCCTGTCTCATAGCAGTGAGGAAGCCCTGGGGGTTGAAGAAGCCAGTCATCCAGAACACATTAGGGCGACCATTGAAAATCCAGGTGGAGAACTGACCGTTTCGTTCCAGGAACTCCGTGAACCAGAACCCCAGGGTTGAGGACTCCCACGAAATCTGCGAAAAGATAAAAAAAAATGTGACCCGCAAAAAAACATACCTAAATTTCTATTTGTCAACTCCCAAAACCAGCGAGTCAGGAAAAGCCTGCTTTGCTTGTATCTTGATCTTCTCATTTTTCCAAGCTATTATGTTCTTCAGCTTCTGCTTCTCTTTACGGATAAAATCGTAACCAAATACTCTGCTTTTTAAGCACCCTTCATGATGTCTCTGAGTGTGTCTTTAATGGCTACGACTACAATCATCGCTTTTTGTCAGGCTGTCACTAAAATTCCTTGAAAAAAGGCCTTACTTTTCTCCAAAGAGCGGGAATCCTGGCATCGTACATGTTATCCAAGGCATCACGCAGATTCTGTGACAATGGGAACAAATAATTAGCCTTTGATAGCGTCATAAGTAAATTTCTATGCATTAAAAATGCTGATGAATTTAGTGCCATGCTGAGAAAAGAAAGCATTCCTATATACCTCACTCATAATGATGGTTCCTTCTATGGCCAGCTTCAGGTCAGTCAGGGTTTGTCGCACCAAGGATATGACGCGCTGCATGCGGTCAATCTCTTGTCTCAAAAAGATGTTCATGGACGCCAGAGCTCCCATTTTCTGAAGTCGCGCTCTCACCTGTACGTACAAACAGAAAACGTTAAAATGTTCCTCATCTCGTTGAATAATGGCTAAATTTCTAAATGGAGTAGATCTTACTTCATGTGGTATGTAGTCATTTGGAAGTTTCTCCAGCATATCATCTGCCTGTCTGGTCACAACACTCTCGCGTGTCTCCCCAGACCCTCCCCCTGAGTCCTTGGGTTGTATGCTCATGATAGTGTCCAGCACGTCTTTGGCTGTATTGCTCTGGTACCTAAAAGAGAATTTCAAGCGAACCTACTTGGTCAGTTTTAACATAATCGCGATGAACTGCTAAACACGCCTATATCGTATAGTTCTTCGAAGAATTTTTGTCTATGTGTAACAGGTTTCGAGCAACTCTCTGCGAACATTGCTCCTTTTGGTGAAAACAACAAAATCATTGTCAGATGCCACACGCTACTGAAGGTGTCTTTCTTACTTTTTGCCAATAGGTCGACATCTTTCAGTCAAACAACTAACGAGCAATCATATTCATGTGTAATCTGGCGACATGTGGTTACTTTGACTTGTTAGTCAAACTCGGTTTTTCGTTCGGCCACGAAGTGGGATATGTGAAGTACCGAGAAAACTTTATTGAGTGACAACGACAGGTTTCACGGTAAAATTTGAAAAATGAACCAACCGATCTTGTTTCTAACGAGGCGAGTAAAACTGACTAACTGACTCACGTGATATCTGCATTGGGATGCAAGCCAAACACCTGAGGCGTGTCCACTGAAGGAAGAGCTTGAATGGCTTCAAAGAACTGCTCCAACCCACGACACTTGGGGATCTTGTAGCCGGTGTAGAAACAGAAGTCATCGCTAAACATGTGTTCCCCAAACCAAACCTGCAAGAAAACAACCAGTTTACCAAATGTATCTTTACTACTTCCAGCCTGAGGGAAATCATTTCTTAGCTATCTTGAGAACGTCACTTGAACTAGGTTGCAAGATAAACTACTGTTTACTCAATGATTGCTGAGGAGCCAAAAACAGCGAGAGTAGAAAATGCTTCCAGTATAACGCTTCAACGGTTGTGGCTTCCTTAAGAACGCCGGAAGGAAGAGAGAAAATAATTTTTTTCAAAAAAGTCTTACCTTTGCAAAGGTGTTTAACAGCCTCTTGTCGTAATCATCGGTAACTCTACCACCATACTGCACCTCCCCAAGCATATACCTGACTGTGTTCCACGACACGCCCTAGACAAGTCAATTAGAATACGAAGTCATTTAGAATTGACTGGTCTGTATTTATCCCAAAGATTCAGTGTTCATATTACCTTCTTAGGATCGATGTCATCCAAGTGGTTCTGAACGAATTGCACACTAGCGGCAAAGTCTGCCTGGTTGAACTCGTAAGGAATGTTCCAGCCTAGCGGACCAAACTTACGCCGTTCCTGAGGAGGATAAAAATACAAAATTCAATGTCTTATGAAGAGCAGAAAAAGAAAAACACACTGGGCAAAAACAGACAGTCTTGATACTATAATATTTGTTCCTGTACTAACGGTATTGTGTATGCTAGGTTTGAAGATTTTTAGATCTTTTCCGTGCTTTTAAGGTTTTCGCGCGGTAAAAAAGAGTTATGGGTAAATGTACCGATCGCCATCTTGTTATGCATATAGAGAGAAATTCTGTATGCGCGCGCTAAAACAACCATGATCGCAGCGTCAGAATCAGAAACTTACGAAACAGCAACCAAAACAGCAATTAGACGGAAACTCTTTTCTACTGAGGGCAGTAGATGTACGAGACTTACAACAAAAGACTTCCCTGATGAGGAATGGAAACATTTTCCTCACCTGAACGACGGTGTGCAGGAAAGCCACAGCATAGAGGGTGGGCTTCCACTGCGGCATGTTAGTCACATCCAACTGGTCCTGAGTGATTCCAGCGTAAGTTCTCTTTAATCCTGGCTTCACGCCCTGTGGCGGCTCGTTTGTGAATTTGATTGAAGACTATAAATAAACAAGAAATGAGATGTAAATTGGGCAAATCTAGTCATTTCGAATTCAAACTTCTGCTGTTTACTAAGACATTCAATAAACACAACCAACGCAAATGTGAACCAATGCTAAATTCCAAGGAAAAAAAGGCAAAACTAAAACATCATTATAAAATCGATACGACGGCGTTCTCTAACTGTTTCTTCGCGACTGAACAATTTACTCTGAAAATTAATTCGTGAGTAGCAACACGTTTTGTTTAAGAAAGAAAACTTCAGTTTACTGAAATACGGCAAACAACTAATGTAGCATTGGAAATGTTTGTAACATCGGGACTTTACTGTATGTTATATCCCATAAACAGTTGTACCTACCTGCAGAAGACTGATGGGGAACTGATTGTGCGCCTCAGTTGTGATCCAGACGCTGAAGCCCTCGTGTGAAGACTCGGCAGTCGTCACTGTCTCTAGGAGCTCGTCCATAAAGTTTAAGCCCAAATGACAGTTCTGAAGCAGCACCCAGCCGCCCTATCGTCGCAAACCACACACAGGTATTTTACCATGTATCATGAATCGAGATACACGATCACTGTCAAACAGCGACGCAAAGTGTATCTCAACGGAGGTTCAATTTCACTAGCTAGAATTGAGCCTGAATTGTTATCTTAAGCTTCTTCATGCTAGGGAGGTCTGAGCGAAACAGTTAGCTTCCAGACCTTGTGTTTTGTTTTCGTTTGATTTGAGCCAAATACAGAATTAACAGCCACCTACCAATGAGGCCTTGTTGTGCTCTTAACTTGTCGCTTGGTATATGCATCCTATGTCTATAACTTCGTTTTCAAACAAGAGGGAGGGGGGAGACGTGATCGCGCATAAGAAGACGGTAATGATAAAAATAACAGCTTACACCAGCCATGGACTGTTGAAGGAGTCTTCTGGCGTGCACTTCCTGCCCCTGACCCATGGATACCGCTCGACATTCTGCAACAAAAACCTTTACAATCAGAATCAATTAAAAAAAAAACGTTATTTATGCTACATATATAACAATACTGTTTATCACATTCTACAACGTACCAATTCCCTTGCGCTTAGCGAGGTTCTCAATGGCCCCTGTAGGATCGGAGCCCATGGAGAGGAAGCATATGAGTGGTGTTTGAGGATTGCTCTCTTCCCAAGTGGCCTCGAGGTTCAGGATCACGCCCTCAGCATACCTTTCACCCATGGTATCTGCGATGTACTTACGAGCCTGATGCAGCGTCCGGTCAGGACACCATGACCTGAGGACCACAAGTAGCAAGGGTAAGTATTCATTCCTTTACTGATAAATGAACAGGTCAATCTCACGGAGAGATTGTCGGAGAGATTGCTGTCTGGCTGACCTGACTAGTAGCAGCTTCCTGAAAGTATCCAGTGAGATCTCGTAGCCATCAGGAATAAAACTCTCTTCGGGAGCGTCGTTGTCGAACCACTGCTTCCAACCGGACTCGTTCCGGCGAACCTACAAGTAACTCAGGCCTGTAAGAACCCATACCGAGAAACCGCAAGGCGGGGTGAACAGCTGAACAAGCGAAAAAACCCAAACAATTATAATAAAGCTTTGGTGAAGGCACCATGCTCCACGAGGTATACCATCCCACGTTAAGGAAGTCCCGGTGAAAGTAAAAGTAACGGACGAAACGAAAAGTTCCTATACTCATTATTCTCTATAGACTCTATATATCCTGTTGTCTTACTGGTCCAGCTACCTAGCCATTGACACTAAGGTAACTTGGTGAGCTCTACTAAGTAAAGCTTCTTACTAGTTTAGTTGACTATAGCTTTTTTTCTACTACACACCTGATCTAATATGCCTGAAAACTGAGTTAACTTGCTAAGCTCTACTAAGTTCAACCAGGTCATATCCATGATCCACTTGCCAGGTTTGGGTTGTACAGCCTTCAGATCAAGAGCCGCACCACCTTGAGCGAAACCAATCATAAGCAATTACTGGCAAGAGTGCTAAATAACAAGCACTAGTTATACGTTTACACATATGAGATGTTTATTGGCTTACAAAAACTCGCGCAACCCGCTCGAACAAGTCAGAGTGAAGAAGTTTCTCTTTCAGTCAGCAAATCGGAAGCTAACACAAAGCTATTGGTAACTTGGGTTACGAGCAGTCTCCCGCATTTTGCTCCGACAACACGTTTTCCCGCACTTGGCACTAGTCACATAT